GAATATTACATGTAAATAATTATTTTATATGGTTGTCCCAGACGAATTGTGCTTTTTCTCCCCGACGGGGGGGGGGGGGCTGTGGTCCCTCCGACTCGCCCCCCTCCCGCTGACGCCACCCCTGAGCCTGGTGCCATGGTACCTCCGTGTAATATCAGTAACCTTTATTGCTGGTTTACCAGTTAAGACATCCTTTTACAACAGTTTGCAGGTCCTTAAAATGTATTCATTAATTGCAGCCTATAGCATGGAGGTAAAACCGTTTTTCAGTCCTTGGTGTTTGGCTTTCTGTAATGACCACTCAAAAACTGATCACAAAATCAGATTCTTCAGTTTTTCCTGAGACAAAAGCCAAGTTTCACTTCGGCGAACACTTGCAGTTTGATCATTTTTAATGCTGATTTTAGAGACTAGGCCTACTTTTTATTTAGAGGTTTCTAATTGTAGACCGAGCCCCAACACCACCTTAAAATTCCAGGTCCCAAAAGTGGTCTGGAATTGGATGGTGAACATAGACAATTTTGTAACAACTATTATTAATCCCACTGAATCAGTGGTGGCTCCAGAAAATTGTTGACAGTCAGTGGCGTAACTAGTTTCTGAGGGGCCTTGTTCGATAGTACCGTCGGGACCCTTGATGCATATAGATTAGCAATTACTACCCTTTTACTGAAGTATATCCATACTAATCCCCCGCAGAACATTCCAGGCACGAACCTATGAAATCGAGTATTGTACAATTTATTATTTTTCATATAAAGTAATGATCCGCCGGGGCAGGTTCCAGGATTTTAGTTTTCGGGACAGGAATATTGAATGTAGTATTATAAACTGTATACCGTATATCGTATTTTTACTGAATTAATCTAGGCTTATTATGTTCCTATTATTATTTTGGAGTCTAGGTTTGGGGAACGGAATACGCGGTAATGGTTACTTATGGAAGTAAAAGCACCAATATTGTAACTATGATCATTTAAAGAGAAAGAAACCCAAACATACCATAGCGTTTGGGTTGATTAAAAACGGATATCTGATGGTAGTATATTCCCTCCATGTTCTGTCTGTAGCCCTTTCTCAGTCCGAGTGACTCCGCAATACAATAAAATCTACAGATGACAATAAACTACAGTAAATCTCTTGAATGTGGAGTAAAATACAGTCTGGTACGATTTTATCTTGTCGAATTAATTTGGTATGAGATATTAACAACTTAATTTACCCGCTATGGAGATGTACTATCAATTGAATATGAATAAATTGAATATGAATAAATTAAATTGAAAACATGTGATGTGCTTGCTTTTGGTAGGTCTTTACCGATTACTTTATAAGCAGTTTCATTATTATTTAGTCAATTATTGGCAGATAGACGAAAGTGAAAGTTATAGATAATAGAGCATTCAAAAACAGGGGTTTAGATTTTTGAGAGCGCGTTGTTTGAATGAGGTTGATTTTACAGTTGTCCTACCCAAAGAATGTTTTTTTTTTTTTTCGATAACCAGAAAAATATGAAATGATTATAGGACGATGAGGTGATGATGACGTTGCCAATGATGAAGATGGTAATGAATGAGTGATGGGTACACTAATCATAGCTGCTGGCTTGAGATTCCATAGCCACCTCAGCACCACCGCGCGTTGTTGGGGCGAGAGGTGCGGATTTTTCTATTTAGAGAACCTCTAGATGTCTGGAAAGGGCATCGTCAGACTTAGAAATTGTCTTAATTTGAAAATCCACAAACCTGAACTTTAGCCACCATTTGCTAATATGCCGACATCTAAGTGAACTGCAATCAAATAACTGACACTATCGTTCGTGCAATCTAAATTCAAACAGACTTTAAAGCCGGGCACTCACTGCGTCGTACGACGACCCCAACTTCGCTCCCTGTGAGCGCTCGACGACACGACGCTGTCTGCTGATTTTCAGTGGTAGTCTGAACGGATCGCCAGCATAAAGTAATCCGTTACATAGAATCGTGTCGGTCGACTAAACAACCAGTAGGCCTATAGTTATTATTATAGAAAATTAATTAAGCGAATGATGGTCTATTATGAATTATGAGGAAATACGTTTTTGAACCACAGATGGCAGCTTAATATTCATCCGCGTAATACCGAATCTCTAAAATTTCGTCGCTATTAAAGTTGGCCCTTTTCATTGGTTAGTTTGATAGTCGTGGCTAGCCAGTCGTCTTCAGTTGAACTGAAACTAGGACTTGATTTAGTCGTAGTTAAAACTTCGACTATGTTGTTTGTGAATACAAATTGAAGTTAAAGTTGCAACTAGCACTAAATGAAGTTCTAAAGTTTTGTTTTAAGAATACGGGCGTTAGTCTCACGCCATATAAGTACACTAGGGCCTTTGACTAATGCAGGCTAAAGTAAAGTGAGTCCAAAGTGACAAACGCCCCAGCAAACATCAGCGGTAAAGTCTTTACATTAGAGGAAAACGAAAGAACAGTTTTGCTGACAAGCGATATTTTTTGGCAATTTATGTTGGTCCTGCTTTCATGCGTGCATAGATAACGATCTGTTTCACTGTGAGTCTTCATCCATCACGATGATATCGGCGTCTGAGTGACATTTTTTACAACTAGGCCTAGAGGCCTAGGCATGTATAATTGATTATTTTATTAAATTTTTAAAGTAAACAATTTTTAATTATAAAGTTCAGTATTATATAGATATTAAAATATTATTAATGAAGGAGGCCAACTACAGCCTAGTTCAGGGAGAACGATTTTATGGGCCAAATTGTGCTTTTAGACCACAATAGCCTATTATGGATTAGCAATCAAAATAACGTTATTTGATAGGTAAATTTTTTTTTTCGGTCCGACCAACTTTTCGTGGCGTCGGCCGAGATGTGGGAGGGGTGTCTAAGTCTGTCTGACTCAAGGGCAAAAATACCTGACACTGGATTACAAATGGCCAGAAATTTTACTTTTTAGGCATACTTGTTGTTAATTAGTACACCTAAAGGAAGTATGCAACACGCGCTATATATAATATAATAAAAATATAATAGGATTTATAAAGTAGCGTGCGTAATTGTACTCGAAGCATTGAGGTTGATGGTTTCCATACTATCACTGCACACTATCACCGACAGCTTTCTTTGATTCTGATTGGTTGGTCTAATGGGGGAGCTTTCGCGATTGCGTCGGGGACTGCTACGCAGTGCAGCGATTGCATTGAAAAAAATGTAGCCACATTGTAGCTATTTTAAGGAAACTACGATTTAGCCTACACGACAAAACCTTACTGCTGCGCCATGCCACCAAACCAACTTCCTAAGTATGTTTAAATATAGGCCTATTGCTTAAAATTGGCAGTTGGTAAGGTATGTCACCAACCTAGGGTTGTCAACTTTAGATAGTGGACAGGGGGTCCTGTCATAGCACACTCGTTCAACACATGTTCAATGAAGATGAAACGTTGATCAAATAAAAACAAAAAGAATGCACGTATAGTTTTTCAGTTTGCAATATATTTTATTTACTCTTAATGTAGATGTATAAGCCTACATTAACTAGCATGCTTAAACACATAAAGTACAGAAAGGGAATAGAGGCCTATGTGCTTGAAAATCCATCATTTCTGAATTCCGAGAATTATAGATATATTATGAAACAATTATTTCACCCATTGCCAACTGAAAGACCAAGACGGATCGAGTTGAATAAAAGTGCGTCCGCTGCAAATCACTCGGATGACCATGGATACTGAATAATTGCGCCTCTGCATCTAAACAGAAAGGTTTTACAAATACTGTACTACGCTTTTTAACATTTTGCTTTTATAATGCACTGTTTTACGATCGTTGTTTGTACCACTTTCTTGAAGGAGTAACCAGTAAATTGATTGATCAACATCTTTTAGACGTGTTCAACATAACTACTTGGCCACTTTACTCCATTTCAAATTTGTACTTCCATGAAGGCTTGGGTAACAACGTCTGTAGCACTTCTTTTCCTCCGTTTACCAACAGTAGGAGAGCCACAATCCTGCGAGTTTATGCTATTACACGCTGACTGGGTGTTTGATTGATCACATGTTAGGAATGAACACATTACCCATACCTGTTGAGAAAAGTATACAATAGTAATTAACCTACGTATGGCTCTATAT